GCCTTCATCTTAAGTCCCTGATCCCATCAGTGAGACCATCAATAAAATGTTTTCCTTTTGTCAATAAAGGGAACCATTTACCGCCTTCTCCCTGGAAGGCTCCAATCTGCTACTTTCCTGCTTTCTCATTTTGAAGGCAGTAGGAAATGCAACAAACTCCAGGACCGCTGTTCCCAATCAATGCCCTTTTAATTGAAATAAGGCTGCACCACCAGCGAAGCCAGCTTCCAACACGGCCAGGCTCGCCGCCTTCACAGATTTCCTGGCAAAAACCAGGCCTTCTTATGGGCAATACAGCAATCTGAGTAGACCACAAGCTGTTCATCCTGACAGGTTAAAAAGTATTCAGAGACTAAAGTTCAGCTTAAGATTTTGGAACTTTTAGGGGGAAGGGGGTAGGCTATATCTGAAATCAGGTACCAGAAAGCTACAGCACCAGGAGGCAGGTCAGCAAATTCACCAGGCACCAGGTCAGCAAACTCCCAGGAGGGCAAGAGAACCACAGGTCCTCTGAGGATTCATCTTGGTTCCTTCCCTGTACATGGTTGGCCTTCAGCAAATCACTGCCATACAAAGTAGTGAATAGTGCCACAGGCCAAGCTTCGACTTTTAAGATGATTTCCATACTTCTCCATCATCTTTGGCCTTGAATCATTCTGACAGGGGCAGGAGAGAAAAGAGCTACCACTCCGGGTTGATCTTCCCTGCCAGCTAAGAGCTGGAGACAGCTTTGGTGACAGTGCTCCTGGGTAGCAACGACCGTGAAACCTACACAGGAAACATCCGCCTTTCATAATCCTGGATCCTTTTGGCTAGCTGAGGACTGTTATTACACACTGCTCTCTGCTCAAGGGGGAAAACATGTCTTCCTGACAATAAATCTTTCACAAAGCAGGTGCCATGCTCACCCCCGGGGTGACAGCCATGCTCTCCAAGAGCTGGAGGACACACCCGGAATTTACTCAGCAGTGCAAAAAGTGCCACAGCCAGGTGCTGCGGGAAAGGCCCACTGGAGTCTGCAAAGTCCTGAAGTTCTCCACCAACGGGCAAGGAGTCTGCCTGTGAGTGGCGGCCAGCCAGTCGGCATGAAAGAGCACCATCGCAGACCAAGGACGCTGCAGGCAGAAGGCAAGGAGGCAGCTTGTTGGGTGCATTGCCCGGTTTCATGGGGTTTCACAGGCTCACACACAGGATCTCAGAGAGGAGAGCCTATCGGTCAGAGCGTGCATCAGGAAGTTCACTGGGCCAGGGTGGAGAAGCAGAGGGGCTGGAGAGAGGCCAAGTTGCTGAATGGGCAGAGGGGAGAGCAGAGCAAGGCAGATTAGAGAAACATTTTGGATAGGAAGGGCTTGGTGTCCAAATGGAGGAAGTGCCCGAGAGATACCCAAGTTTCTGACATGGGAGCTAGGAGAACAAGAATGCTGCCCACGCAGAGAGGGAATACAGGAAAACAAGAGGCCAGAAGTGAGGAGACAGGAAAGACCATCAGACGCTGACACGCCCATGGTCATCTGATATGAACAGATACGTGGGTCTTGAGCTCACAAAGAGGTCTAGGCTGGAGATGATCTTTGGAAGCCAGATGCAGATGAGAGGCTGCTGAAGCACCAGTGGATGAGATATTCTGGGGGAACAAGGACGGCAAAAAGAGAGCCTAAGATGGAACTCTGGTGACCACCAGCTATTCAAGACTGGACCAAGGAAAAGGAGCCGAAAAAGAAACAGCAGTAGAGGTGGGAGGAGAATCAGAAGTGGTGGCAGAAGGCAAGGGAGGAGGAATCAATAGTGCCAAATGTCTGGGGGCACCAATTATATTTTTACTGAAAGGAAAAAGCCATACACAATTATTTTGAGGGTCAATCACTTTTTTAGGAATAACTCAAGCCTGCATAAAACCACCCCTCATATCGCAAGACAACAGAGAAATACAGAAGTGTGCAGAGAACCCATCCAGTAGTAATTTCCTTAATGGGGCTGTCTACGAAGCTGCCTGCCACCGCAGTCACGACACGAAAGAGGCAGTTTAAAGCAGAGCGTCAAGGAAAAACTGCATATCAGCACTACATAATTGAGTGTTTCTCCTTTATGTCAAAAATTTCACACACACCCTTGACGTCTCTCTCCAGATGTTCTCGCTACTTCTGTAGCCAGCCCTGTGAAGAATAACTGAATGGGATTCTTCTACGCTTAATCTTTTTAAATGGCTATTTTAATGTTGATGTTGACCTCAAGGTAGACATTCTGTCCAGACTCCATGCCCTTCACCTGGCTCCTTGAATGATTCCTAAGCGTTCTGGCTGGAGACATGTAGGAATATCACAGCACTGCGGGGCTCAGCCAGAGAGGTGAGCTGGGGAGGAACCCGTGGTCTTAGAAGGAACGCTCTAAAGCAGCCATTTCCAATAAAAACAAACTGTGAGCCACATCTGTAATTTCATATTTTCTAGTAGCCACACTAAAAAGTAAAAAGAAACAGGTGAAATTAATTTTAGTAACATTTTAATTAATCTAATATGTCCAAAATATTATCATTTCAACATGTAATCAATACACAAAGTATTAAGGAGATATCTTTTTTTTTTTTTCCATACTACGTCTTTGGAATCCAGTGTGTATTTTATTTTACACTGAGAGCAAGTCTCAATTTGGACTGGCCACAGTTCAAGTACTCAATAAGCCACATGTGGCTAGAGGCTATCATACTGGACAGTGCAGGTCTGAAGGGAATTTATGCCAAGAGAAAGAATTTAATTCAACTAGAAAATTTCCAAGAAACCTGTCTATGCTTGAGTTTTCAGGACAAGGTGAAGGAAAGACAGTTTGCCCAAATGCTGTTATTAATTTTAAATAAATACTCCATTATGAAATCACAGGAAAACATCAGCAGGACTGAGACAACGGGCAAAGGAGAAGGCCACAGGGTGTGGCCTTGGGAAGCGGTGTCCAGCCAACAGGCCTGTCATCATCAGCTGTACCAGCACCAGGGCCCAACTGCTAACCCCTGTTCCTTTTTCAGGGTGCTTGTCTTCTTTCTCCTTTTAATCTTCCAACAGACCTGTGAGGAAGACAGGATCTATCCCATTTTACAGATGAACAAACTGAGGGTCAGGCAATTTAAATTACTTGCTCATTTCCAGTCACAGCTACTAAACTTGGACCCAGCACTCAGACCATGCCCCTGCTCCAGGCTTCTTCAACAAGCAGCTGGTCAGAAACAGCCGAAAACGCACGGTGAGACCAAAGTAAATATTGACTGAATCACAGAACCAGTGCCCACCTAATGACTTCTTAAATAGCACCTCGCTTTTGTACAGAGCTTACGAGTTTTCAAAACATTTTTGCACACGTTTGACCACCACTAAGGAATAATGGGGGACGGCCCTAAGGAATAATCTAAAGATGCCCAACTACTGCCCAGAAGGGCTGGCTGGTCCAAGGTCACCCAGGCCACTCATATTACATCCAATGTCCTTCCACTACACTGTGATGCCTCCCTTGATGACGCCTTTTTCTTTTAAAATAAAATTTTAAAATGCCAAGACTACTTAAAAATATATTTTGTTGTTTTCTCAAACCAGTGGGTAAACTAATGATAGGGCACAGCTGTCATCCATCACAAATGTGACTTTAGCACAGCATCTTCCTCCAACCCTAGTCAACAGGGATTCTTCAAATGGCCTGATGGCATTCTCAGCTCTTCAAGGTCCTGGCCGCAGCCAATGGGACCCCTTCCTCTTCTAACCAAATGCCCACGTACACACTGAGGAAACGAAACAGAGTGCGCAAGTGTGTGCTGGGTCAAAGAAGGCATCCTTTTCCTACTTCAGCCCTGGCTGGAGGGGAACTGAAACAACGGCTACCTGTGGGGTCTGGCCTTTGATTTGTTTATTTTACACACTTTACGGTTTAGGCAAGCCTACCAATTTGGGATTTCTTGGCTCTTCATGACCAGCTAGAGTACATGGGCTCCTTGGGCCTTTCACTGGGCCAACCATTAAAAGCTATTTATAGCCACCACACTGACTTCCAACCAGTGAGGGGAGCCTTCCTGGCCAATACACCTAAACATTGCTGAAAGCAGTAAGGCAAAGGCCCAGAGTCACATTTTAATACCAAACAACCTGGCTCTCAAGGAATTGATCACAATAAGGCCAGAGTTTGGTTATACTCACGGGAAAATAAGTATATCGCAGATAAATAAACGAGAAGCTTCAAAATACCACCGTCTGACTCCCAAGAGCAGTGAACAGATATCAAAGTTCTCTCCCTAAGTGATTTCATAAGATTTGCACAACTCTTCAGGAAAGAGCTAGAAAAAAAAGGAAGCCTGGGTATACAAATGAACCCTGCTACACAGCTACCTCCAAGCAGAGCCTTGGAAACTGGTCCAGCGCTCTCCCACCTTGGCTAGGTGCTCCATCATAAACCAGGACACCTGAGCATCATAACATCATCATTAAGGACCAAGGATGGGGTAGAGGTCACCACTTGCACAGGAGATAAATTAGCTCTTTACTTTTCCTTTATTCAACCATATTCCAAGCGTATTCATGCTAAGGAAGAACTGCTACAACAAAAAATATCCTTTCACGCAAAGGATGAAAGAGTTGATACATAAGCAGCCCCCAGCTGCCAGGGCTTACACACTTCCAAGCACACCAGGTCACCTTCCTCATCAGAAATTCAAAGCTGAAGGTCAGCAAGCTTCTAGCCCACAAGTGTGGTAGTGGTGGATTATTTCTAGTATGTGAACTGAATGGTCCTGACAGCAGCCACGATGGCCTCCAGCCATGCCACAGTCCTGCATTCCATGAGTTCCCAGATGCAAAAGAAAGCCAACCGAGACCCCCACTTCCACATGGCAGGCGAGCCACCTCCTAAATGCAATATAACCGCCCCCGCCCAATGGACCCCTGCATCCAGAAGAGGAGGGAGGGCAAGGGAGAGAAGGAGTGAAGAGAGAGAAGCAGAAGGAAAGCCATGGTCAGCATCATTCTTACTTTTCTGGCAGCGATTGGTAGTCCAGCAGCGATAGTTGTACTCATTGTTGATGGTGGTCTTCTCGCACAATGGCTTCTCCTCCATTGTCCCTGGACACAGGTCCCCGCATTCTTTCGGGGGCTTGTTCCCCACGATGTAGTTATTGGACACTGCATCCAGGATCAGGGACCAGTCCACTGTGGAGAGGTAACAGAGGTCGGCATTTTTCTCAATCCTGATGGCCCCCCGAGTAATGTTCCTCAGGTTGTAAAGCCCAATATCTTTGAGATTGGTCATCTCAAAGATGACCAGGGCGTAGTTGTAGAAGAGTTTCCAGCCGCGGATGACCGTGAGGTTCGGGAAGAGGTCGCCGAGGCTCTCGAGGCCGGCCACGCGGAACAGCAGCAAGTATTCGGTGATGACCGTGAGCTTGGGGAAGCGGTAGCTGCGGTAGTCCTCTGCTTTGGAGATGAGCAGGATGTGGAGGTAGCCCTCGATCACTGTGCAGTTCTCCAGGCGCTTCAGCTGCTGATAGTCGTTGCGGATGTCGATGCCCGGCCCACAAACTAAAGGGAGACAAGAGGGCAAGGCGGGACATTCTGAGTTAAAAAGAAATCATTTTTAAAACTAGTTTCCAACCCACCATATAATCAGTTTTCAGGAAACCTATATCGTTACTAAAGAAATAAGACTCAGTTCTTCACTGCAGACTAACCTCAGGTGTGGGCCACAGGTTGACCATCCAGGTAGCTAACGGTCAGCTGTCATTCGTGAAGTGCCTACTCTGGGCCAGACGCTCTGCAACACGCTTGCCCAACTGTGGAAGATACTGTCCCCACCCTACTAACGTGCAAACCACAGCAGCACATGCAAGAGTCAAGGGTGCAACCCAGGCCGGCCTGCCTCCACAGCTGCCAGGCTGCACACTCCCCATCCCTTCCGCAGAGCGCCAGTGCCCAACACCTGAACCAACAGCTCGACGGCCACATAACAACTTACTACTGCCTCCAGCCTCTAGGACACCAAGCAGTAAAGTCTACACTAGAGAACAGTCACTGTGACTCGGAAAGGAGGGACCCACAAAAGCACACTCCTCCTGTTTCCTGTTATCACCTGACGTAGGCCCGGTGGCCTTGTGTTCTCCCCAACACTGCATGAGTGTAGATATAAAGGGTAATCTAACAGGAAGATCAGAACATGTGATTTATATGAATACAAGAGGTTATATAATTCCAACTTTAATAAAGTGCTTCATTAATCAAGAAAGCATGCTTCCTGTAGAAAGTATAGGTAATAGATGGCAAAAAGAGAGTAAAAATCATCAATGATCTCAACATCCAAAGATAATCACTGTTAACACTACCTATGCCAATTACCCTTTCTCTAGAAATAATTTAAGGTAAAGAAATCAGACAATAATACAATGTTTTCAAACATACTTCCTTCACTTAATATGAACATTTTACCAAGCCAATAAATATCTTTCTACATCATCATTTTAAGAAAGAGATAGTAATTCTAGGGTATGAATATGCACCATGAGTTTTTATTTTTGTTTTGTTTTTTGGTGAGGAAGATTAGCCCTGAGCTAACAACCATTGCCAATCCTCCTCTTTTTGCTGAGGAAGATTGCTCTGGGCTAACATCCATGCCCGTCCTCCTCTACTTTATATGGGACACTGCCACAGCATGGCTTGACAAGCAGTGTGTTGGTCTGCACCCAGGATCCAAACCTGTGAACCCGGGGCCACCGAAGTGGAGCACGTGAACTTAACCACTACGCCACCCGGCCGACTCCAGTTCTTTTATTTTTTTAAACCAATCCCCTAGTGTTGGATATTTAGGTTATCTCGAGTTTTTCATGTCATAAACAACACTCCAATGAACATTCTTGGCAGATATTCAAGACCATTTTCTTAGGATAAATCCCTAGAAGTAGAATTGCTGGGCCAAGGCATTTGCAGATTTTAAAGGCTTTTGATAAAATAGCCTCAATACCGGAAACTTTATTTTCAAAATTCTAGACACACACACACACAAAAAACTCTTGGTTAACATCATTTCTTAGGATTTAACAATCCCCAAACCTTCCATTAAATCTTCTCAGACAGTGCAGTTTTCTGATTGATGTAATTCACTGATTTGTGAAGCACCCAACATGTATGACACTGTAGGAGAGTCAAAGAAACAGTGCCCCGCCCTATGTGAAGGCTCATGGTGAAGGCCAGAAGCTAAGACCTGTCATAAACAACTGTCATACGAGAGAGGAGGCGGTCAGCGGTGTGCACACTGCAAGTCCACTGTACATGTGAACTGAGCTAAGCAGGAGAGACGGGGCAGCCTCGGAGCCTCCTTCAGAGAGTAAGTCCTTTCTATTGCAGAGCTGAGGGAAGCTCTGTACACGTGCTAGCTCCTGAAGGATGGGAGGAATTTAAAACTGGGTATAACATTCCAGAGGCCAGAGAAAAGGCAAAACAAGATATATTCAAGGGACAGCAAATCTGATGGTCAGGGATGCAGAGGAGAGGAAAGGAGTTTGGTAGAGCCCAGGTCATAAAGGATCAGAGGTGGGGATGAGAACTTTCATCTCAGGAATGAGGCCCCTCTCACCACTCTTGAGTGGGAGAGAAGCCCAAACGAGACCTTTTTTGGAGGCTTAATCTGATGGTCAAGTGCAAGACAGAATCCAAGTGGAGTAGACAAGAGAAAGGGAAGAGAAGTCCAATGGGGCTTATAGCCATAGCCAGGAACTGGACAGAGACAGTGGGGGGAGAGGGAAGCAGGGGCCCCAAGGGCTGAGAAGCAGGCAAAGCTTGAGAACCTAGAACTTGAAACTTCATTTGGTCCAATTCTCTCTTTTTTTTTTTTGTGAAGAAGATCAGCCCTGAGCTAACATCTGTTGCCAATCTTCCTCTTTTTGCTGAGGAAGACTGGCCCTGGGCTAACATCCATGCCCATCTTCCTCCACTTTATATGGGTTGCTGCCACAGCATGGCTTAACAAGCGGTGTATCGGTGCGTGCCTGGGATCTGAACCCAGGCCGCCGAAGTGGAGTGTGTGAACTTAACCGCTACACCACCAGGCTGGCCCCAATTCCCTCCTTTTACTGATGAGAAAATGAGGCCCCTAAGACAGAAAAGGGAATGGGAGAAACCAGCACTCTGAGAAAACACACACACCAGACAGAAGCTGTGCTAGAAGCTATGGATGCATCATTTTCTTTCATCTCATGTGATGCTCTCAACACCACCTCACACTATGTAATATCATCACCACTTTGAAGGTGAGGAAATAGATTTGGGGAAGTCAAGTCATTCATATCAGGTCACAGATGCAAGACACCGGCCTCTTCATAGCAAAACTTGATGCAGTTTTTGGATAGTCCCAGCTGTCAGCATCGTCACCAACTGGTTACCTTCAGCCCACTCCAACTAAGATTCTGCCCCAATTATGATATCGAAGAGCTCTCAGCAAAGCCCCCAACGACATTATCAAAGCCAATGACAGTTCCCTGTCCTCATTTTACTTGATGCTTTTAGAGTCATTGGACGTTGTCTCCTTCTCTAGGCTTCTCTGATTCCACACGGCCACTGACCACTGTTCCTCTTTTGCCTGACCTCCAAATGCTGGCCTCTGTCCTCAGCCTCTCCCTCTCCCTCTGTCATCTCACATGGACAACTGGCTTCCTGTGCCACCCACACGCTGGGTGATTCTCAAGTGCATGTCATTGGCCCAGAGTCCTCTGAGCTCTGGAGTTGTATATTCATCTGCCTACTCCACCTCTCCACTTAGGTGTCTAATAACTCACTTCTTCCCCCCACCCCAAAATCTGCCAACCAAGCTTCCATATCTTGCTTAATGACACTCCCATTCTCTGAATTGCTCATGTCAAAAATTAAAGAGTCATTCCTGATTCCTCTGTCCCTCACACCACACATATCCAGTGCAGTAACAAGTCCTCTTGGGCATTACGCTAATTGAAATGTCAGACAGAGAAAGACAAATACTGTATGTTCTCACTTATATGTGGAACCTAAAAATGCCAAACTCATAGACATAGAGTAGAATGGTGGTTGCTAGGGGCTGGGGGTGGGGGAAATGCAGAGATGCTGGTCAAAGGGTACAAACTCTTAGCTTTAAGATGAATATGATCTGGGGATCTAATGCACAGCTTGGTGACTATAATTAACAATATTGTATTATATACTTGAAAGTTGTTAAGACAGTAGATCTTAAATGTTATCACCATACACACATAAACAAATCATAATTATGTGAGGGGATGAGCATAATTATGTGAACCTCATTGTGGTAATCATTTTATAATGTATACATGTATCTAATCATCACACTGTATACCTTAAACTTACATATGTTAATGTCTAATAATATCTCAGTAAAGCTGAAAAAAAAAGTCCTCTTGGCTCCCGCTCCCAAGCCTATGGGAATCTGGGTGCTCTTCCCACAATTTTCTTCAGCTCCTTGTTCCTCTCCCCCCCGATTCATTCTCTCCCTGCTTCAAGACCTAGCTCTGGCCTTTCTTCTCACCCTCTCTCACTCTGGTCACTTGCACCACAATGTCAGCTCCAGGAGGATAGAGAATTATTTTCTATTTAGTCCACAATTACATTCCCCACTGCCTCAAACAGTACTTGGTGCGTGGGACACACATCATTACCACACGTGTAGAATGAATGGATTTCAGCACATCTGTCTGTCTCCACTGCTCTAACTCTGATCTGAGCCATCGTCATCTCCAGCCTGGACTACAGTGACACCCTCCCCATGATCCATCCTCTGCCCCCCAGGCCATTCTCGACCCAGCACTGGGCCCATGAGACTCTACAGGAGCTCATTCCTGTCTACTTCTACCTCATCTTCTATATGTTCTTGTTGAGCACACGGTGGCCATCACACGCCTTCCCTCCTCATCCCCTACTGTCTGGAATGCTTCCCCCGTCACATGGTTGCCTCATTCTCATCATTCGGGTCTCCATTCAAATGTCACCTCCTCAGAGCTTTGCTCCAACTCCCTCCCTCCCCTCATTTTTCTGTTTCACCGTTTCCATAGAACTTTTCGCGTCTGAAAAGTGTCGTACCAGAAAAGATGTGTTTATCTGAGTGATCACTGTCTATGACCCCTACTGAAGGCCTGTGTCTGGAGGACAGTGGCTGCACTGTGTTTTCTGCCAGGTTCCCCACACCTAAACATCCAGGCTCACAGCAGCTCCAGTAAACATGTATTGCCTGACTGGGGGCCAAGGTGAGCCTAGGACCTTGGTTTCTACTCTTAAGTCAGCCTGAGGTGCAATGGAGAGAGCAAGATATTTGCCACGAGAATATTCTCAAAATCAAGAAATATCACCCAACTTCAGGCCAATGACTCAATGTGAAAACCTTTTTTTTTCTTTTGTACTATTTTATTTTTTGCCTATGCCCAGCCGAAAAATTCTTATCCCTTCTATGCCATTACAAATTAAGTATAGTTTGCTCTTAAGTAATAAAACAGAAGTTTTTATAGAGGAGTACTTGAATGCATTCTATTACTACATTCAACATACATCTG